TTTCGTCAATCATCCAGTCCAATAAACACTGCTGACCAAGAGTCAACAGAAGAATCAGCTGTCATGTGGAAAACTCACAACACAGATGGATGTGAAATCATTTCAAAGACAGAAAGAAAATGACCTTTTAGATAGCGCCTCTCAAGATAAAAATCACGAGGCGCTTCACCAAAACAAAACAAAGAAGTTAAAATATAAAAAAGAAAAAAACTTGTTAATTTTTTTTAAATTAGAAAAAAAATTTGATTCAAAATGTAAAGAAAGGGAGAGAGAAAATTGGTAGGAAAGAGGTAAATCAGTGGAAATAATCAGACTTTCTAATCAAATTGCCAATAATTACCTTTACAATAATGAATTTAGTAACCATTTCTTACCTTTACTATACACTTTTAGTTGTTTGGCTTATTTTAATGTTTAAAACTTGACTTGAAGAATAAGTCACCCCCCTATCAGTGTCCTACTCCACTCACACCCTAACCCATTCCCTTGAATAAGGGAGCTCTGGTTCGTATTGTTTTCGAGGGCTTGTGATGTATCTTGCTGTTCCAATTCCAACTCGACTGGAGGACTGGCCTAGTCTGAGACCCAGTTGCAAAGTGGCAGTGCAGCAGACACAATACAGTACTGGCGAACGGCACAGGGTACCTCTTAGCAAAGGGCCATGGCTGATTCAATTTTAATGTAGTGGAGAGTTTCACCCTGAAGAGGGCACCAGACTGACTGTTTATGGCTGAATTTTTAAAATTGAATGAACTAAAATGCCCAAACTACACCTTTCTACGGCACTATTACACACTCAGTTTTCAGCAAAACAAAGTTAACTTGGGGTTGACTTGCTCTTTAGAGGCCAAGAGTGCTTCTCAATGCAAAGGAACCTCGCCTTGATGTCTTGGCCCCGCCCCGTTTGCCTAGGTGATACGTCATCAGGAACCGCCAAGACGTGTCCCAATGTTCATGTTCTACCGAGGCGTGTGTTCTCTGTTTGTTAGCCGTTTAGCTAGCTGAGCAAGGATACACGGGAGGTGTCTTGTAACCTAGCCTTGGTCAAAAATTACCCAGAATACACCGTGGGATTTTCAAAAGGATGGCGGATCAGAAGCCGGCAGCTACTTCTGGGGCAAATTTCAAGTTTAACCCTCTGGAGGCAGGCATTGCAGATTTGCAGCGCTAAAACCTACCTACCTGGTTACTCCACATACATATTTCATGAGCATTTTTTAACTCAGCGTACCCCTGAAGGACTTAGTTGTTCGTCCTTTTATCAAAACTTAATTTGAGCCTGAGAGGGTTAAAGTAAGTCAACTAATTTAAAATGTTTATTTATTTTTATTTTTTTTAGACCCAAAGAAGTTATCTATGGTTGGTTATTTGCTTAGTAGATTCAGCTTCGGTGCCTAGCGGTTACTAACTCACGTATATATTTAATTTAACAAATATGTACACAATTTAAAAGTAAAAGGCTTGTTATATATTCATACTGAAACTTATATGTATAAAATACAATGTTATCTCCCATATCACTTGACCGCCATGGTCACGTGAAGCAAGTCTGTTCCATTTAACCATTTTCTTTGACCAAGAAAGGACAGCATCCTCGTACGCAAGGCGCCTGTCCTCGCAAGACATCGTCTCGCAAGGCTAGGCGCCTTGACACTAAGAAACACCTCATGTTCACTGAGAAACCATTTTAACAGTTTTTTTTAATATGATCAGTCACTCTGAATTACACAGAGTCCTACCCAGATTCCCTGCATTAGCTTCTGATAGAAAATAGACAAGGAAATGCTCCAATCTGAAAAGCCTGACAGATCTACGTCACACTGTAAATTAGCATTCATGGACTCACCCATCTTTACTCATCATGGGGAAAGATGTTGTTCGTTTAGCATCCAGGATAGAGCAGCCGCGTCATGGCTAGTAGAAGCTAACCATTAGCATTAGCGGCAGAACTCCTCCGGGAAGTAAGACTCCTGGGGTCTCATTTATCAAATATTGCATAGAATCCTTACTAAAACCATACTTGAGCTCAGCCAAAAAAAAAAAGTACTTACGCCAGTAGGTTTGTGATCTATCAAACATGGAGTACGCACAGCTGCATGCAATCTCCGCTTCATAAATCAGAGACTAAAGTGGAAGGTTCTCAGTTGCTTTTTAGTCAAATACCGCCCTCAACACGCCCACTTTCTGCCATAAATGATCAAAGTGCCTTGTGAATCTCATGCATATACATAAGCCGGCTTGTTGCAGCATTTCGATCCCGACCGCAGATCAATGAAGCGCCATTTCACAAGCAGAAATTCAGGTACTTGTGGGTGAGGTGGAAAAATGAAAGGAAGTGCTTTTGCAAAACAAATAAGAGAAAATCCACAGAGTGGCACAGCGTTGCTGAAGCCGTCAATGCTGAGTTCTTCAGAGAGATCTGTGGCAGATATAAAAAAACAGTCCAATCAGGTTTCGACCCCCAGACTCCCGGGTGAAAGTCACATGCACTAACCAGTCACCCAAACAGAGATCTCCCTTTGCCAAGTGGCCAGGGCGCATCATCAATCGGGTCACAGTGACAGGACACACACTGTCACAGACACATGACATTCTGTCTCAATCTGCCCCCCCTGCTGATATTCAGCTTCCGCATTCTGTGCTTCAGGGTGTGTGTGTGTGTTTGTGTGTGTGCGCGAGTGCGGGGTGGCTTGTTCTGTGTGCGCACAAAGCAGTACAAGTGATAATGTTGCTGGAATTCATAACTGTATCTTCTCAGCAGCAGCATTGCAGGTGCTCTCCATGTCCAAAACGTGCGTAAGACAGGTCCTTAGTAAACTTAAAGTGTGCACATTTTTACGCTAAGTTTTCTTTCATAAATCCCAAAGTTTGCATGAAAAGTTGCTTAAGCAGTTTTCCGACCCCGTTTTGTACATAAGCAAGCTTGATAAATGAGGCCCCTACTGTTTTCTACCCACCCCCCCACTCCATCGAGTAACCTCTGCTTCCTGATCGCCAGAGCGTTTTTCTCACACAGATTGATTCACAAGGCATTGTAGCGTTATGGATGACCGTCTTTCTGGGACAAAGTTCACGTTCCAGCTAGGTCACAGCTGGGTCAAGATAAAGCCTTTATCCACAAATTAAAGCCATCAGGATCTGGAGTGTCTGAAGAATAATCATCAGCCTGACTGTTTATCTGTGTCCATCCCAAGATGAAGGACATCTTCAACTATTATGAAATAACTTAATAAAAGCTTATTATTATTAAGGTTTATAATAATCATCATAAACAATCATCCTTTTCATATTTAATGTATTCTAATTAATGAAATGACTTATTAACCTTTGGTTAATAATAATTATTATTTATGACAATCAGTAATGTTTAATCAGTAACCAGAAGATGCCTTTGCACGTGTCCAGCTCATGCAGGATTCACTTAAAGGTAAATACTTCACACATGTTTTGACGCATGATGAAAGCTTTCTTCCTGAGAGAGTGGGAGTGTCCTGGAGCTTGGTAAAACTAACCATCCCCAGCTTCAGAACGAGTTCTTGAACCAACACCACAGAGAAAGGGAAACGGCCGTCCCTGAATCCTCCACCTGCTGTTCAGTCACGCCGACCAGAATAGCCAAAGAATAAACGAACTGTAACCAGCTAACAAAGACTCTCCCAGAGTCATTGATTTCTGAGTTAAGTTAAAAGACGAAAAACTCCTTCAGAGTTACGGCTCTTGAGATGCAAATTGTTCCACCAGTCGAGTGACCCAAGGAGACATCTCACGACTGATCTGGTCGCATAGAGGTTCTCCTACCAACCTCGTGCCTGGAGAAAACCATCTCCACCTGGACACTTCGGATCGGAAGGAGGGTCTTCTATATGGGTGAGGTAGACTTCGACAGATTGCGTCTGATGCGGTTTCTCTCTAAATAACTTAGTTAGCCTCAAAACACCATTTTTATCCAGACCGCTTCCAACTCTCTGGGAAAAAACCTTCTCATAACTTCATCCACGCATCCAAACTCGTATTTTCCATTTAGCTTCCATTCAGCCACAGGTTTGCTTTTAAAACAAGTTTAAAATCAAAGCTGTTGAAAATTGTCATTAAATTGTCATCCTTGAATTGTCATTTTATAATTGTTGTTTCAAATCTTTCAGTTTAAAATAGTGAGTAATAAATTTCTTCATTTTTAAACTTGTCTCATTATTGAAACGAAACACAGAAAATGTATAATATTTCTGGTTATTTGAAAGCAAAGATCCTAACTTCTGATTCAAAATAACTTTTGCTATTAAATTTAATTATCTAAATTAAACATTAATCTTTGGATTTAAAATTAGATCAAACAGGTTGATGTATGAACTTAGATCAATATATATATAAGTATCCGGGATATTTATATATGATATAAGCTTCATAGGTTAATCTGATTGGTCATTTTTCGGAATCTCCACTGAAAGGCAACAGAGGTGACTTCAGTATGCAGATTTAACTCTACAGCATTCATTTATCCTAGAGCTCACTGCAAATGTGTTGAACTTGCTCTTTAATCTGAGCTGCTCTATTTTCCAAACTTTGACATTTTTTATTTTGAGATGTTATTGACATGCCTAGAAACCAAACTATCCTCCACTTTGTGCCTCTGTATGTGTCCTACTGCTGCGAGCTCCAAGTTCCATGGCAAAGCCGGACTTCTCTTCACTTATGGTAATTCTAGAAGTAAACGTTCACTAAAACACTTAAGTGTTCCCTTCAGAAACACAGATGTTCTTTCCTAAACCCATCTTTGGCATTTTGTCTTCAACAGATTTTCATAAACCATTTCCTGTGTGAAAACAACAGCTCTAAGGCTTCCTCACACCGATGCAGACGTTTGTAAAAAGACCAAAGTCTGAATCCAACTTTTGCTGTAAAAAAAGGCAAAAATCACCCAAAATACTTTAGAACTGCAACCGTTGTTTTAAGTGGAAACGTTTTGCCTGTAACTTCAGATGGAGAAGCTTCTGATTCACACATTAGGATACAACATAGAGACATTTATTTCTTGTTTCAATACCAAAAACCCACACAGTTCTCTCCCCCCCAACCACCCCAGAAAGCAGCATTGTTCATCAGTAACTAAAAATGGAGAACTTAAAAAATATCAGATGAACTCCTGTGACCTGTCCGTCTTTGTCCTGCAATTTGTTCATCCAAACACAGTCAGTAAAATAATAATGCACAAGTGATGTGTGTGTGTGTGTGTGTTTATTTGTAGCTGTTCTGACCGAAGCAAAACCGACTCAGAACGAAGACAGAAGTTCCTCTTGCTCCCTGGGCGGTTTGTCACCACAAACACACTCAGCTGGGGAGTTTGCTTTTTGTGCCATGAATCCTCCAAACGTTGTGGATCCCCCCAGAGGGCAGTAATGTTTTTCTTGGCTGGGTAGTAGTTTTGAAAAAGGCAAAGGGGGTGAAATTGTGGTGGAGGCTCCTGTTTGGACTCAGTGAGACTTGACAGAATCGTATTTGCGGCTCGAGGTCGTGCGGCGGGACATCGATGAAGCTCTTCTGTTACAAAAAGTGACAGAATTCATACTAAACAGGGAAAAGTATTCAAATTAAAAACAAAAGGAAAATAGCAACATCATTCCTGTGTTCTTCATGTTGGTCACTTTTTAAATTCCATATATTTATATCCATATATATTTATATATATTTATTTATATATTCTTTTTACAATTAAAAACATCATGGAATTGACAGACTATTTGGTTTCTTTTGTCTAAGGAGAAGTGGTTGTCTTCTTTTCAAAATGAATGCATGTAAATATTTTTTCTCGTTTCCATACTGTCAGTCTTTGTAAAGGTGACCATATGCTTGTATCCATACAGTATGCATATCATTAGGAGTTTCCATGATATATATTTATATATATATATATAATTTTCTTTTTGATTTGACGTTTCCATTCACAGACACAGAACACCAGAGTCTGTCAAACAGAAAAACCGGCGGTCCTAAACGGTCGTTTCATTGGCCGCTTTGGCCCGAGTCTCTGTGCGGTTGGCTCAGAAGTTGGGTCTGCATGGGTCCGTTATAGCTAAGTCCCCCAGAAGTTCCTCCATTAAGGTTCAAGAAGCAGACAGTTTCTCTGGCCTCCAGCTGCATGGCTGTTGATCTGGCAAAGATCCCGCCCTCCTCCTGCTTCCTGTGAGCCAGTGCTCTGAGCTGCTCCTGTGCCTCCTCCAGCAGCAGCGCCACCTCGTCCTGCCCAACGGCCGATGAGCAGGAGGACGAGAACAGCCGGGCTCGCGCCGACATCTCCCTCCTCTCCTGTTTGCAGGGTGTGGCGCTGCAGGTGATTGACATCTCTGTAGTTTCTGGGCTGGTTTGCATACACGACTCCTCGCTGTCGTGGTGACACTGAACGGAAGGGATGATGGGGATGGAGCAGGAGCGAAACGGGGGAGGTGGGGAGAGGCTATGGCGCTGGTCGAGTTTCCTCAGGCTGCGGTGGCTGTTCAGGTGAGGCAGAGGACGAGGGCCTGAAAACACCTCCTCACGACCGCACCAAGGCAAAGCTGACGGCGTCTCCATAGCAGCGGGAGTTTGCATATGTACAAAGGCATCTTGTCTGGAGTCGTTTCCTTGGTTCTCTCCCTGCATGTCGACTCTGAATGAAAACAGAAAAGGGAGGAAGGGAAAAAAGGTTATTCAGCAGGAGAAAAACTTCCAGACTTCACACAGAAGAAAAAGTCATTGTGTCTCTGGTGTGTTTGCAACTCGATCGCCTTTTCAAACTCCCACGCCAAAGCTGGCATAAGACTCAGAGGCGCAGCTCTCCGCCCTCCGCCATCGCACAGGCTAACCGCGAATGCTGAGGGGGAAGAAGATGAGTCTGACATCTTTCCTATTATCTCATTGTATCCAAGTCCACACCCACACACACACACACACGCACGCACGCACACTTGTATTTATATGCTTGTGTGGACCTCCATTGACTTCCATTAATTGTAGTGACTCCACTATGCCTCACCCTAACCTAAACTCACCTAAACTGAATGTTAATTCACACCAAACCTATAAACCAGGTTTTAGGGTGCTCAGCATTGTGTGGACCAGCAAAATACTTCCTCAATGCAAAAATGTCCACACATTATAGATTAAAGTTAAAATTACACACACAAATGGACACACACACAGAGAAACATGCATACACGCGTGCACACACGCACACACACGCATGCACACGCACACACAAGCACAGGCACATGCACACACACACAAGGACACACACACACATAAAGGTGTGTGTAACAGAGGTTATTACTGACTTTAACAGGCTGAGTGTGTTGAGAAGCTGAGGCCCTCAGCTGCAGCCGTGGACAAACGTGATCATTTGTGTGATTTCTGCAGAACTAGCTGATCTCAGGTCAGGATCATTTGTTGTAAAAACCGATCTGAGTCACACTCAGCGATGGTGTAACTATGGTGAAGCAAAAGTTTGAAATGTGCTTTGTGCGCTCTCAGATGTTTTACGATCTCACGTATCTGAGCCGAAGCATCAGCGTGTTCTCAAAGCTCTGATGTTATCAATCCGTCATTCCTGAGTTGTTTAGTTTAGTCTGTTTCTCTCATTTCTTCACAGTGAATGACTGAATTCAGCTTTTCCAAAGAAAGCAAACTCAGGCAGGAAAACACAACTTGATGGAATATAACTTTAGTTATTCAGAAGGCTGTTATCCAAGGGCTCAGAGCAACAAAAGCTGGATTTCTGTCAGAATCGCAAGAGAATTAAACAAATGTGACTTTCAAAGTGTGTAAACATCTTTTAAGAGAATTTTAGAGTTCTACCTGACACCGGTTCTTTAAAACATCGGTATGGTGACTACTGCTGACTAAGTTCTCACCAGATTTAAAGTCATAGCATCCACTGAAGGAATGAATGTGCCTCATGATTGTAACTGCGATGGCTGCAATGCTCTTCTTATTACAGGTGGACATCAACACTTTTCAGTTATAGATGAACATTTAAGAGCTCAGAGTTCTCCTGGTCCAGGAGATGATTTGATTGAAGGATTCAGTTAATATCAACAATTTAGACAAAAATCTCAAATGATCAGTTGTGATCTGCGGTCCTGACTTCAACCAGTGCAGATCATGCTGAGGTTGAGGATTGGAGACCCCACAGAGAATGATAATTGACTTTATTAAAGCTCTAAATATCTGATTTAAACCAGGGAGATGTTTCACTACGTAGACTAAGGAACGTCACTGAGTTGGGAACAGTTGTACCCTTGTTAACAACATGTGGGAACCAGGAAGTAACCTGCCAATGTAGCAGGGGCACTTTCATCATCATCATCATTATCTCATGGTCTGAGTGGAGAAGGATGAAGATTCACGCACGTTTTAAATCACAATAAACAAAAACTTCAGCAGAGAGACACAAACAGACACAAAATCAGTAAATGTACAAAGTTTCTCTCTGTTCTGGGGGAAGTGATCAGCTGCCACGGTAAACTAAAACAAGCACTTCTATGGAGATAAGAGTCTATCGGAGCAATTTATCAGATCATCTGGAAAAATCAGCTTTTAATTTGAAGTGAACTAAATGATGGTGCTTAAATAGCTTGAGATGACGGGATAATTATCTGAGAGGAGCGTCTGATTCATCACACCTGATTAGGATTTCTGTTATGATCCGAGGCTGAAATGAGCTTTTGTTATCTTCACGTGATTTAATTAATTTAACTAACAGCAGAAGATCAAGACCCACGGCTCTTTCACCCGTTCATCGGTGTTCATATAGAGCTGAAGCTTGTTCCACCATGAATGCAGATGTTCTCATCTCTGTTCTGTTTCTGGGCCTTGATCTGGGTTCACTGGTTTCTGACGTGACCTCTTTCCAACACAGCATTCAGGGTCCAAATCCAGCATTGCTCTGGCCCGGCCTCATAATGATTAATGCTCTTGGAAAGGAAAGACACATCTCTGTCGTGTCAAAAACCAACTCACCACACTTCGCTCTCCGCAGTGGCGAGAGCAGACGCTGCGTTTGCAGATTTAAAGGAAGTCACTTCCTTTTTTATGTCTGCAAAGGGTTTCTTTCTCTTTTTTCTACCAAAAGCACAGCAGAGATTTGGGAGCCCACAGAGAGAATCCTGCCAGCGATAAGAGGGGACGATGTGAGGGTGCTAAATCCCAAGATTACACTCACAGACAAATCTACCTTTTGATGTGCTGAAACATAATCAGATTGCAAAGATCTATGAAGCGCAGTTCAAATATGGAGCCCGTAGCGATGTGGGAGCAGCTGGAGGGGGATCACAGGCAGGCTGTGTGCAAATGAGGGGAGATAAGTGACCAGGCTTTTATCTCTAATAGGAGCTCATTACAGGTGCAAGTGTCAACAGCCAGGTTTTATAAATCTGTGTGTCTGAAGATAACTTCTCAATGTGTCCAATATGTCCGCTGATGAAATCTCAAAATGACCCGAAGCAACATTTGAGCATGCGTGTAGGTGTTGTCACGCCTACGTGTGCACGAGCAGGGTTTCTGTAAGGAGGACAATACTCTGCTATCCTTCTCTGTCAGCCATTTTTGAAAACAGCTTAATCTGAAAACAGTTGTAACATCACAGGACCTTCTGTCTCCCTGTCTGCCATTTGGCTGAGATAAGCCTCTAAAATAAAAGCCTCTCCTAGCTGCCATGTTCTATCTGCACACTCTTCTATTACATCCAGTTTTTGGTGTTGCTGCTTCTAATGTTTCTATATTTCTGGAACTGTTCCCCTGTTATTTCTGTCTCTGTGTTTCTCTCAGTCTCTATGCAGTCATGGTCAAACGTATCCATGGCAACGCAGACTACAGTACCACAGAAAAGGGATGCTGCCGTCTGTTGGTCCATCTGCTGTTCGCTGAAATCTGACTGAAAGTGAATGAGTGATGTAACGTCCAGCAATGGTCAGTTTAGGTATTGTTTGACCATTCAACATCTGGTCAAAAAGGAGACACGAGACTGCACGTTATCCCTTTAAACCAGCCTGCCTTCCTCTCACCAGCTGGAGTTCAGAGCCTGCAGCTCTGACAGAGATAATGAAATCATAACAATAACATTCCCTCCTACCAAGGTCCCTTCACAGAGCAACTCTTTTACATAACTCCTCGCTTCAAAGAAGAATAGAAGAAGAGAAGATTTTTAAAATTAAATATGAACTTCTAAAACTTACAAGAGATAATCATTAATTATTGCTATTTATAATGATTATAAAACAATGAAATGTTTCATTAATCTGTGCTCAATGATTGTTTAGCACATTTACTTGACAAGGTCATAACATTTGCACTCACAAGCAAAGTAAGGTAAAAGTTAAGTCCATGACACATAATTAACCCTTCACCCAGATCAGAGCCTCCTAATATCAAAGAAGGTGTGTGTATTCTGAGATTCTTGGTAACATCCAAACTTGTCAACTTTTGGTTGGCTGCCCAACCAAAACATCATAACATTAAAACTAGATCACTCTGGTTTTTCTTCAGTTCTGGAGAAAGCTTCAGACCGTCCATCTGTAGCAAAACCTCTTTAACCAGCAAAGATTTTGACACGTCGTCAAAACCTTTAAAACTTTTTTCACACCTGCAAAGCTGATACAACAAGATAGTTCCTGCAGAACAAAGCTGATATTGTTAAGCCGGGTGTAGACTGTGCGACTTTTTCACTTTGTTGAGCCGATTTTCCACTCGTGCGAGAATCCACGACATCGGGGCGAGTTTTGCGCCGAGCGGTCGTGTAGTGTACAGGGGGTTACGAGAGACGATTAACACCACGTGACCAGCTGCCGATCAGCAGTCGTGAGGTCGCACGGACTTCTGGCGTGTTTATTATTTCGCTCGTCCCTCGTGAGGGTATCGCACTGTTGAAGCAGCGCTGCGAGCAGCTGCGACCCAAAAAGTATCAGAACCGCTCACGGCGCATGCGCAATCCTGCATCAACGCCGCTCCCCGTTATTTCCCTAATAACACACGCTGTTCGTTTTTGTTTCTACACGTTTTTTTACTCACAAAGATTGTCAAGAAAGCGTGTTTGTCGTGTTCATGTCAAATTAAACTGATCACAAAACACAGATTTACTTTCTTTATTTCGTTTTCCTCATCCAACCCCCATACATCCCTGTGTGTCCTCCTGCAGCACTCCCGAAGGACAACAGGCAAATGACGTGTTGTGTAAAAACTGCTATTTTTAGCATATTTTTAGGGCCGACGTGTTGCTACCAGACATACAGTGTGAGCAGTCAGGTCGCATCCGAGAACTGGGTCGTACAGTGTGAGCGCCTGGCTCGTGAGATCTGCTCTGCGAGGAAGTCGTACAGTTTGAGCTGAAGCTTAACGCTGCGAGTGAAAAAGTCGCACAGTGTACGCCCGGCTTTAGACTCCTTAAGAGTCCGCCAGATGCACGGTTCCATCCGTCTGTCGTGACCCGAGACATCTCTGGACTGAAAGGATCGGTACCACAGTACTCTACAGCCCTGCGGTGCCAGCGGTCATCCGACCTCTCTTACTTTCGGGTCCACCACGAGGGTCTCTGAATCCGGGTAATGTAGACACACAGATAGCGTCTGGATGTGGTTTTGATAAGAATTAACCATAGCTTAACGCAAACCAAACTCTTTTACATCCAGAACTCAGCTCTCCGCGATACGGAAGTTCTGATCAACATTATATTCACACATAGGTTCCAGACACCACCCTTAGTTCCATCCACTCACAGTTAATAATAGTTTAACCAATTTGTCAAGTTTTAATTGTTTGTAAAATAAATTCTTACTTTTGTAAACCTGACTGTTTCTTGAATCAAATCGAAGTGTGTACAATCCCCTAATGAATAAAGAATCCTAGAATCTTCTGATTAAACATCCTAAGACCAAGCAGGTTGATGTTCTATATTTATATACAGTATCACAGCTTATTGGTCACAAGTAGAGGTAATATATTAAGCTCTTACAGCACTCTACCAACACAACAGTGAGTAGGTGAGTGGTCAGAATGTGTGTGTGTGTGTGTGCCTGCCTTTTCACGAGGGTGTGTTTGTTTTATGAAAGGGAACTTTAATATTTAGCGTGGAGTGATTTCCATTAGCTGTAGTCTGAAGGGAGCAGATCAGATAAAAACCTGAGCCTGAGGTGTTACCGGTTTGAAATGATGTCCTTTCTTAAATCGTGTTTGGTGACTAAGTGATACACTGGTTGGGATGACCATCCCTGTAGTGACAACTTATCTAAAACTCTAAAAAAGCATTGAACAAAAGCTTTATTTAGGAGCCATTCTTCCTCAGAGTCAGCCTGATGAGGGAATCATCGGCTCACTACCGTAGCTTACGTTCTAGCTGGCTGTGGCCTTTGACCTGAGCTGTTTTTAACACCCCTACAAAAAGGTTGTCTACAAATTAGAGCACAAATAAATTCTGAATGTGAATTGTCTGACCTCTACTTTGATTGCTGACAATGGAGAATATGCACATCTCCTCTTTGATCTGAGTTCATGAAAGAGATGCTCTATGATGGGCAAAACTGTAGAAAAATGTTTTCTTTTTGTTGGACACCCGACTACAGGGCCTTAGTAAAACATAAAGTCAGATCACTGCTATCAGTTACTTTTAAACTGATCATTCAATTGTCATTTTTCTGTGTTTATACGCAGGGCTCATTAATTCCTATTTCACAACTATTAATAAATATCTAATATTTGAAGTTTTTCTGAATACGGTTCCCATCTGATGATGTTCAGCCTTTGGGATAACCCGTGGATAACTCTAAACACATTGTGCTTGTGCCTTTCTGCTAAAAGAGTCCGCATAGACGAGGGTTTACCATGCACATATCTGTGCTTTTATTTTAACCACACCAGGGTTTTCTTCCTCCTCTAGCATGAATGTAGGGCATGTGGAGCTTAATGCTGAGCTGGGACCACTGGATTGATGCCTGAAGTGCCAGTCCAGGTGGCTCAAACGCTGACTCATAACTTAGCAAAGAAAAATGGGTCAACGCGCAGCGTCTTGCACAATGGCTCCATCTATTCCTGCTCATTAGACCCTTCACATTTCTCCTCGATGCTAAGCAGGCTTGTTAAATTGGATTTAATTACAGGTGTACTCGCTAAGCCGCCACAATAACAGGCTGATAATCAGAATTTAACACAGGTGTGTGAGGAAGTCAGGGAGAACAAAGGAGAGAGTGGAAGACACAGATGTGCAGTGTCCCTAAAAGCTCCAACCTAAGCGCTTCCTTTCAGCTTGTGCCACAGCCCTGCAGACCGCAACATGACATGACCTTGTTTTTATCGCTGCTCAGCAGATTGGAAAACAAAAGGGAGGAGGGTTTAAAAATCCAGTTTTTTTTCTTAAGAAAGGAGAAAAATCCCAAGAATTGGCTTTGAAATCTCCACTCCTGAAAAGGACTCCTGAGCTTTGCCTGAGGTGGGTCTGTATTTTTGTTTAATGGGTGTTGTCAGACACATCCAGAAGAGCCAGTCGAGGTGGCTCGGGCATCTGGTCAGGATGCCTCCTGGACAGCCCTGGTGAGGTTTTCTGAGCACGTCCAACAGGGAGGAGGCCTAAAGGGAGACCCAGGACATATTGGAGGGACTATGTCTCTCACCTGGTCAGGGAAAGTCTTGGGATTCCCCTGGAAGAGCTGGCCCCAGGGAAGTCTGGGCCTCTCGACTTAGGCTGCTGCCCTCGCAACCCGACTCCGGATAAGCGAAAGAAAATGGATGGATGGATGGATGGATGGATGGATAAGTGGGTTTTATCAGAATGGGTCACCACTTGGAGACACACAATGAAGGGAGGAGCTGAAATAACTGACTGGTTTTTAAAGCCCGACCTACATTTAAAACCAGCATAAAGCACACATATATAAATATAACATGTTAATCTCACAATTAAAAGTTTAAAGCAGCAATTACGTCTCCCGCTTCTCCCTCCTGTACTGGTTGAAAGCCAAATCACAACAGTCATGAACAACCGTGCTCAGCCTGTTGTAGCTAATGAAAAACTAACTATAATCCATATTTTTCTCTGGAACAAGCTAACAGGTCTCCATTGGCCTACACATCTTCGGGTTACGTGGAAAAAACAATTTTCTCACAAAAATTACTCCAAAAGTCTAAATAATTTATGTATGTGCAAATGTTCATTGAGAACAAGTTCTTCTGATGTTTCTCTAAACATTTGTTACGGAAGGCTCTAAGCTGCACTTTGCTCTTTAAGTGGAGTTTCTCGTCAGCAGAGGGCTACAGAGCGTGAAGATGCTCAGGTTTCTGGCTCAAGAACCACTGAAACCAGTTTGAAAGCACTAGCGTAAAGTGTCACAAAACTCTTTAGCAGTGCTTCAAACATAGACAGTCTGAATAACTGTGATGTTTTTGGACTTTGCCGAGTTCTCACCCTTTTTGCGTTTCTGGCTCCTTCTCAGACGGGTCCACCTCCTGGAGGTGCTGGTAGGCGGGGCCTGAATACTTCGATCCTCCAATGGGGTTTAGCCTCCCTCTGTGTATGGGCGGAGTTCTGCGAGGAGCTGACCAATGGGCAGATCGTGTTTTCTGGTCGGGGCTGTGGGACAACGAGCCACTTCTGACAAACAGAAAGGAGATTTTCAAAATGAAACACAAAGTTTTATCCAAAAACATTTCAACAGAAAAAGGTTTGTTCTGCTAAAACACTCAGCAAACATGTCACAACCAGAATATTTGGACTGATCATTCTGAAGTAGAAAATTCTCTCTTCATGCTGCTGTTATTTTTTGAGTTTAGGTTTAATTTTTGCACAAACACCACTCCAGGCCCACATTCATATGTAAATCTGCTGTTTGAAGGATATATTTGCCTCCAAAATGGGCTTCTTAGCCATAACAACAGAAAGCTTACAGTCAGGCACTTAACATCGCTGGCAGAGTTTTCCATTTCTGACTATAAATGAGATTTTTCCACAACAGAGAGAATTAATCTGGACCATTTTCTGTGGCTGTTCTGGGCCGTGGTATCCCGATGCTCTTGCTGTTCTGACAATGGTGTCTCTGCATAAGCTAATGTGACTGCAAACAAATAAATATTGTCCAGTGCAGTCGTGTTCTACTGAAGAGCAACAGACTGCCACACAAGTAATGTTCGAGTCAACAAAGCTCTGCACACAAACTGTGAAATCAGAGGAAATGGAAGCAAAGTTCCTGCTCCATGTGGATGGACGGCTGAAGTTTTGATTTGTCCTGGAAAAACAGGACGTACCCTGCTTTAGGATTTCAGCTTTAGGATTTACTGAACAATAATGTCATAAAACAGAATAAGCAAAGCCATTAGCAGTATTTTATCACATAAAACTGCTCATTTAAAGTTTTCAGCCGTAGCATCTGACAAACAGACACAAAACTTAGTGAAGAAAAGTAATTCCTGTAATTCCATAATCCTCCGAGTTTCCGCATTCCCGGCTTGAACACCCTTTAATTTTAGACCTTTTGTTGTTGGAGTTCAGTTGATCATCCTTTCTCTTTAACTCACAGAAATACAGAATAATCTGAAAAACTTAAAGAAAAGTGTGAAAACATCTGTGATGAACAGCGTGTAACACATTCATCTGTGCTGGTGTCATCGTCGTGGCTAGAAAAAAGGTTTAGATGTGAGAAACTTCAACTCCTCCCTGGGTTTTAGTGCACAAGTCACTTATATTCTTTCAGATATAAAGTTTTGTGGTTTTTATAGAGAATCTTGGATAAAAAAACCTAATTCCTTTTGTTAACGGCAGTAAGATGAAAGGTTTAAAATAAGAAACGCCTGAATGTAACATTGATAATAGGATGAGCTGACTCAGCGTGTTGATTGAGGACTTTTTCACCCGTTAGTATGGTAAATATGGCTGATCTCTACTGTTAGCCTACTTTCTATGTTGTAATGGAGGAAAGAACTACTTCCATCAAAAGCTGGAGGTAGGACACTGAACATGTTGTGAGCTCCATGTGTCCATGTCTGACTTTCTTCCACTTTTACGGAGAATAACTTAAGTCACAAATCTCGATTTCACTGTGAATAGGAGGGTAGATTAGCAGGATTAAGCCTGGGGCACACAGAAGACAGATGGGCCATGCCACGGACGCGCCGCGGTTTTGGGAAGTCAAATGGTCACACAGGACTCGCTATACCGCTGAACGCTTCTTGGATAGTTACAACATCGCGCGGGACTTGAGAACAGGAAGATGAAAGTGACTCTTGTTTATGCGTGATCAGACTTGCCATCGTGTTTTGTGAGACTCTGATTCATAAAAAATTGGTAATACGCAAGTTATTAGAATACTTTAAGATCAATAGTAGTTTAACGTTATCAATACTGTAATCAAGTAGCATTTATAAGCTCCTCGTCCTTGTTTGGGCAGTTGAGTATGTGTCGTAGAGCCGTTCCACGTCGTTTATGTTTATGTTTATTTATTTGGCAGACGCTTTTATCCAAAGCGACTTACAATTTATAACCTATAGGGCATGTTGTGATCTGTGGGGGAAACCGGAGTACCCGGAGGAAACCCACGCATGCATGGGGAGAACACGCAACTCCACGCAGAAAGGCCGCAGCCGAGCCGAGTTTCGAACCTGCAACCTTTGTGCTGCGAGGCAACAGTGCTAACCACTGCAACACCATGCAGCAACGTCATAATGTCCACAGCGCTTGAAATAGAACTGGCACCTATCTTCAGCGTATTCAATGTAAAAGCATTTCTGGGACGTGGCGTCGCGCTCCCCGTGTCGCCACTCTCAGAAACTGTAATGGCTTCTTTTTAAAATGACGGTGTGGGCGTGACGTGGCGCAGAGCATCTGTGTGCCCCACGCTTCACTGTGAGCTCAGCGTGGCTCGGTTTGGCTCTGCATGTCTGTAAGACTGCATCACTAGTAATGACAATGTAGTTTCCGCCACTTTTTAGAACCAACTTCGCTGTGGCTCCAAGCGTACCATGCCGAGGAGAAAACCACTATGTCAGAAGAGTGTCAGTCACCGATTGGCTAGAGGGTGAGGTCACCCATGTCCTGCCTGCATTCTTTTACTGGTCTTTTCTTGTCAGTCTAACAAAAAGCCACAGAATGAGCAGAATGTTAAACCATGTCTTCCATTGTTCCTTTGTGCTGTGTTTGGGCAGTGGACACATCACCTTGTGGTACTCTGGGGGCTGCCCTGCTTCGAGGAGCCCACCCACTACAGCAGGGGTATTCAATTAGAGCACGTGTCAGACCCAAGGCCCACGGGCCAGATGCGGCTCGCGGAGCATTTTTATGTGGCCCGTGAGATAAATATCAAAAATATATTAAAACTGACCCGCTGGCCGATTTGACCACAAACACTTCAACTCCCATGATGCTTTGCGGCGTTAACGCGGAGCCGAAGCGCCCCCTCCTTTGTGTTTTTTCCAGCGCCTGCTGCCGGTCTCTGCAGCTCCGCTGTCTCGGACAAACTAAACACTCCTCTCACTCAGCGCCGAGTTCACTCAGCTATTTTCTGACGTTGAAGCCCAGAAATGGAGATTATAACCTCTCAGTAATGTGTTCACGACTGAAAGAGAAAGTTTTCCAGATAACTTCCAGACAGAGCTGATATAACTCCAGATGAACAAAACAACAGGAGTCTCCTCCTCAGCTCAGATCAACCCCATGATGCAGGTATCTGGCTGGAACAGGTGAGCATCACAGTAAACCAGTGGAGCAAACTGAGCTTTAAATATGTTGGTTTTATGCTCTTTTTCTGCTCCAAAACATGAAAGTTAACAGGTGAGATGTTGCATTTTCATTTAAGATAAAATGATATTTTATTTTGTTGTTGGCCCGTGAGAAAAGATTTAACCTACAGTAAACAGGAAGTGGAAAGGCTGCAGATAGATGAATAGAATAGAAAATCCCTTTATTGTTCCTCAGTGGGGAAAGCTAGACGTCACAGCAGCGATGACACTTATTACAGGAGAAAAAAGGAGAATAAAAAATAAAAAAAATGAATAAACAAGAAAACATAAATCCTGAATAGATTTTAAAAATGCTGAATATACCAGAAGTAATGAATACCACTGATGCGTTTTATTTAAAACTGACTTGCTCGTGTGTCATTTGGTTATTCCACATTCAGTGTTAATGCAGAAATATGTTTGTTTCCAAATTTAAAGGTTCAAAATTGCATATATGTTGATAAAGAAAATGCGCAAATTTGCCGTCACTTTTTCAAAAATATTAAGTTTGGCCCACGACCAGAGTTTCATTTCGGCCCCATGTGAGTTTGACTCCCCTGAATTAGAGACTTGTTAGGCCAAATTGTTATAATAATTATGCCAGTGGGCTGCCCATTTCCATGTTCTCCATCTCTCCTACTATCTACACACTGTCAGCTTTTCTGATATCTCCATCTAAGCTTTACAGTCATTCAGATTACTGTATTTTCTGGACTATAAGTCACACTTTTTTTCATAGTCTGGCTGGTCCTGTGACTTATTTAACAAAGTGACATATACCAAATTATGTATACCATGCTGCTGCGGGCTGGCTCCGGCCCAGGTTTCAGCTCCTCTGCCCTGCTGGGAGGGTGTCAAACACCGCCATCATCTTCTGCAGCCTGTGGCGGGGTGCTGCGGGCGCTCTCCCCGCCCGTTGGCAGGGTTTGAAACACCGCCATCCTCTGCTGGAGGCCGTGGCACGCTGCTACACCCTGGTTGTTTATTCTGTTATTGTTACAGGTACTTGTCTTGCAATGTGAAATGCTTGGTCTCAGATTTTGTAAGAAAAATAACAAATTTCCCCCCAAAATGCGACTTATAGTCCAGTGCGACTTATATATGTTTTTTTCTTCTTCATTATACATTTTATGGCTGGTGTGACTTATACTCCAGAGCGACTAATAGTCCAGAAAATACGGTAGTAAACAGAATTAACAGAACAGCATATATAAAGTGTTTCCCCGCTCTGTGATCCTCTAATGCATGCATTAATAACTTTTTAGTTTCTGTGGTCTGAAGGCTGCACGTCTGTGCTGTAAAAATGACAGGAACAAAAATTCTTCTTCATTCCTTTTAACAATGTAGGAACATGTTGCACACTAGAATAATTTTACTTTAAAATGTGGTTAACAGAAAAGTTTTTTAAAATATTCCTGTTTTCCAGTCGCTGAGTGGGACATGGCAGTGAATCTGTGGTCTCCAGGTCTGCAGCTGTGTACTGTTGTGGAATTCACAAGGGTGTAGGTGGGGTTTGAACAAATCCAAGTGTGGCAACAAAAATATTTTATCATATATTGTGCCTATTGTTGCTGTGGGAGGTGTAAAACAGCATGATGCAGATCTTTTAAAGGTTCCATATCATGCTATTTTAAACCTTTGAGAACAAAGGTAGGCACCATCGACATCTATACTGGACAGTTTATTTCCATAGGCTCCAATAAAACGTTTTTGAGGAGAAATGGGAGGTGGCCACCACCGCCATTTTGACCGTGTCACAGGTTCTGTCAAGCCCACACAATTGTACAAAAGGGAAAAGAGGTGGAGATGAGGGTGGGGCTGTAAGGCTGGGATCAACTGACGACACCCGGTAGAAATAGCTACAAGCTAACCTGAAGCTAACGCAGAGGTGGGAGGTAAGCTAACAGAGGTAGCAACCTAGCTACAACCGGAGTTAACTGTGCACAACACCAGAACTTCTGAGTCAGAGATACGCCGGGCTGACTGCTGGGTAAAAAAGGGTGGAACACAGAGGTCTCCCGAGAGCTCCACAAGCTGGCAGCCGCACAGCAGACAAGCGCCGCTGCGATCTGAGACGCGCAGAACTGCTGCTGGGGAGAACCGGGTGGAAAGGTTTCCATCCCAGAGTTCCACAAGCCGTCAGCCCGCGCAGCAAACAGAAGCCGCGATTAGACAGAGATGCGCCAAGCTGCGGGGAGGGGAGAACCGGGTGGAAAACATCGGTCTCCCGAGAGCTCCACAAGCCGATAGTCGGAACCCAGCTCCACCAACATGTTATATTTCAACCCATTTTTTAAAGTGCAGCATTATGTTAAATGCACTGGGTTTTACCCTATTACATTTAAATTTCATGGTTAAACAGTACATGTTAAAATCTAAGCTCAGCTCGGCAGTGACCTAAAATACATAAATATAATTTTACTTACCGAAAAAATGAAGTGGAGACTCCTTGGACGCTCTATTAGTGCAATTAATGCCACAGCAAGTCATTTTGTCCAACAATTGCACAAAAAATATGCAAAAAAGAATACACAAACGGCACAACTAGTAGTCTAAGTTGAGAGACTGAAAATGACGGAACAGTTTTCAGGCGAGGCCGAGGCTCAGACTGAGGCCTTTCCACGTGGCCACGTGGGTCTGATGCTCATTAATTATACAGAATTTTAGGCTTTTAATACACTTAAACAGAAGAGTGAGAAACAAATTCACCCCCCTCAGAGTTGTCATGAGTGTAAAACTAGATCATTTAGACCAAAAACATGTTTTGGAACCAGACTTTAAACATGTTTATTTCTCCTGTGAAATTGGTATTTTTAACATGGGAGTCAATGAGGATTTGCTCACTTCTGACACCAGCCCCCAGCGGATGAGGGTGGAACTGCAATTTATTTCATTTCCGCCTTGGCCTCAATTTCTGTCCCGCATTGTGGGGGCTTGGTAGGCACATTACATGATAAAACATTACCGTTGCCACTAATGAGATGTCATTTATTTAAAATTCTAATTTTTTTCGTCAGCCTAAATTTATACTAAAAAATAAAATGCTTTGTTTCAGCGAAACTCCGCCCATGCCGGCTCTGACAAAACGTGCCTACAACAGCGTCTTAGGTTGGTTACTGTATTGGTTATGGTAGTCCAGTGGTAAAGGTGTCCACTAGCTGAACCACTAGCCTTCCAAGTCTGTTGCACGACCATAGCTACATATCCTGATCTGGCCAGGGGAGACAGGTTTCAGACCAGACACTAGCTTCCGAGGGAGGAGCAGGGCCTGATGTTAGGAGCAGGAAGATGGTGAGATGTACAACCCATACATTAGGCCATTTCAGGAATTTCAAAATAAAATTTTTTTTTAAAAGCCAGCTGACACAGGAAAATGCATGAATGCAGCCAAAAATGAGTTTGTTAAAAATGTTAAAAAGCTCAAAAAAGTGAATTTTCGATGATATGGCCCCTTGTTGCGCTCACACAATGAAGGGGCCCTGTCGTCTCATTTCAGCCTAGGCATTTAACTCATTTACACAGGAACCTCATCCCTCTGGCTCTGCTCTTTGTTCATGTGGACTACAGTAAAACCCTCAGCTGTCTCCTAACAGTTAGACGTGTGATTGTCCACTCACTCATAGCCTCGTGTGCTTCTCGTTTGATCTCTTCTGTGTTCATGGCAGTCATAGATATGCTTGTTACTGTGTTTATGGCTTTAATTATAATTACTATCACTCTTCTGAAAATCAGTAATTAGCTTTGGCGGCACTGTAATGTGGATAATTCAATTTCCCTCTTCACTGAGTTCTTGCTGATTGCAGGAGAGGACACAGAAGTTTCCCATTGTTGGTGTAATCTGCCTTTGTTCCTGGGGCGAACAGACTACCAGTACCAAATTACACCTGTGTGTGTGTGTGTGTGTGTGTGTGTGTGTGTGTGTGTGTGTGTGTGTGTGTGTGTGTGATACCTGTGATGTTTAGCAGCTACTCTGGAGCTGCCGGTGATGCTGCAGTGTGCAAAGCTGGACTCACAAATGTTTCCCTGGCGAGGCATGGAGGGACGTTTGCAGTACTGGAGACACAACAAAAGCATTTATGTGTTAAGTGACTTTTCTGTGGCGTACGTCCTATACAGGTTATTTTATTATTCCACTTAGTCTCTCTTTTTTAGCCTGAATACAAGGAGTGTCTGAACCCACGACTGAGTTTAATATTTCAGTCTAAATGAAGCACGATAAAAGTAATTCATGTGTGTTTCCCTTTTTTAATGACTATACTGTGTGAATGACTTTAACCTTAAATAAGATGGACGCTTGTTAAAATGGCCAGAAGACGTTTTATTGTGTCTCAATTTTTCAAGTAACAACAAAAGACTTTGACTTCAGGAGCTGGAAAATATGCAGCCAAATCAGTTGCTTTACAGAAGCCAGAAAGCAAGAATAGATATTTTCTTTATTTTATGGCATGGTGAGATTTTCTCCCTCTGAACGCTGAACTTTTGTTGAGTGCACATTTTAAGTACTGTCTAGTGCAGCAGAAGGTGAAGGGTGCAGGAGTGGACGAGCATCTGACTGCATGGACCATCACCTCCCTCACCAACAGGCCACAGTACGTGAGGCTGCACAGCTGTACGTCTGAGGGCGCTGTGTGCAGATCGCTGTGTGTCTGGGGGAATGAGCTGGAGTACAGATCAGTCATCATGGACTTTGTAGACTGGTGTGAGCGTGACCACCTTCACTTGAACACCAGTAAAACAAAGGAAATGATGATTGACTTCCAGAGAAACACTCCTCTTCACTCAACAGAACACTACCGTACATAACTCCTCAGTTTAACTGGTACTGGCATTATCCAGGTACACAATAACACCAATGCAATACTCAGTATGTGTTCAATACTTGTGTAATACCAGATTTACGTAGTCTGTCTGTGTCCCTTACAGTATGCTAAATAGTTCTGGAACCCGAATTTTTGGTTTTTAGTGGTTGAAGGTTACAACACTAGCTTACTGCTTATTTGCATACACATGTACCTTTGTTATTATTTTACTTCTAATTTTTCTCCAAGTGTTGGTGCTGCTGTAACAAGTGAATTTCCCCACTGTGGGATCAATAAAGTCTGTTCTATTCTAAATTCTCCCCAGCTGTTTAGAGCGTAACTGTAATTTTGCCCAAAGGTAAAACACAACTGATGGTTTTGGGATCGAAGCATCATCAATGTGGAGACTGATTTAGAGCAGTTAGTAGCTGCAAATAAAAACAGAGAAATCTTCAGTTTCGCTTACAAAAGTTTATAAGAAATAAGTTGAAAGTCATCTTTCCCGAGTTGAGAGAGCGAAGAAGAAGAAGAAGAAGAAGAAGAAGAAGAAGATTACTTCTATGTTTAAGAGACAATGAGATCAGAATATCATATTATTGTATTGCTTTCATTTTTAACATTACTGATAAAAGTCAAAAGAAGCTGTTAGTTTATATGTTAAACATGCTCCTGTTTATAAATCTGATACATTTTCAGTTTTAATCCTTATTTCATACTTAATTAAAAATGATTTCTCAAGGGATTGCATTTGCCCCCAGAAATCAAAAATAAGATCTTCTTCTGTTGAGAAACGGTGGAGTTTTAGTAGTTTAGGCCAGACCTTAGAAGTACAAACAAACCCATAGACTCTCATATGATCACTGAACACTCAGACCCTCAGCTCAACACATGAACACATGAAATTCAAGCTCAGTATATGTAATTCCATTTTTAGTTTTTTTATGACACAGAAAAGTTTTTTTTTTTTTACCTTGCTGACAGTTTCGTTTGCCAAGGATGCGGGACCATAAACAGAGACGAAGGGGTTTACACATTGGATCGTGCATGGGACTGCATCCTCGGTGAGGGGAGAGCGGGCAGCAGAGGGCGACAACGTCCTCTGCTGCCCGCGGCTAAACGGAGCAGGAAGTGACGCCACCATCAGCGTCAGCTCTGAGGAAGTTTGCAGTAGGCAAACAAAACTGTTATCAAGGTAAAAAAAAACTTTTCTGTGTTTTAAAAAATAACTAAAAATGGAATTAGAAACTAGACACAGTAAGAACACACCAAAGCTCAGTATAGGTATTGTGGTCAGTTGGCTGTGGTGGCCATTTTTAATCGGCTTGACTCCAAACCCTGAAGTGTTGTAGAGGAACATCCACTGAGTTTATTAAATCGGTCCAGTAGTTTATGAGGCATTTAGATAAAAACAGACCACCACACAGTTAGGCAGAAACATGACGGCCCACCGCGAGGCTTTCAGGTGAAAATGAATCATTTTAAATTATTTTGTGAAGCTGTGAGTGTTTGTTATGTGGTGAAGCTTACATAAATATCTGTAAATGAAGGAGAGTTTAAACATTTGCATGAACACTGTTTCAGAGTTTTTATTCTGAAGACAAAACTGGCTTTGGAGCAAGAATGTACTTCTCTGTGGAGCAGTGAATACTTTGTATCTGACACTTGTAGTTCCTTCTGGCGGCTAACTGAACACGACACCTGAGTGCCTTCTTCATGGACATCCTTTTATTTGCTGAGAAAAGCTTCCCTTCACAAATACTGCTGTATGTCTCACTTTATTGCTTTGGAATCTTTTCTCATCCTTATTGATCTTTTCTTTGTCCTCTCATCTTTAGACGTCTCTCGCTGAAACCCTCCGGACACACTATCTGGATGTGCTCCATATGGTCAAATGTTTATTTTATGCATGTTCCGGGCTCAGCTTTTGCAAATATGTATGCAGTTATTTCATTTCTAATCTCATAATGAAACACACGTTCAAAGATCAGCTGTGGATGACATAATTGTGCTTTACCAGCCACCAAATAGAGATAAAACCCAAAACCTGCAAAAGGAGATTTGGTATGGTTCCAGTCTACCACAGTTTCCTTCCTGTGAGACGAGCCTGTTTAGTGCTTTTTCTTCACCGGAACATTTTCGTCTCATCTGTTGTAGTCAGCTTATAGTTTGATGTGTGACTAACAAGGCTGTCATGTACACAGCCTTTTTGTGAGGAACCTCAGCAGGACACAACCTTATTAGCATCTCGCATGCTGTCATGGTGATGTGACCATTTTAAGGTCTGGAGGACAATTTGTACTCAAATCTATGATGGAATATTGTCTGAAGGAAAGTTTAGTTTCAGGGGAATTTTTTTTGAGTGAAAACCAAACTTTTTAGATTAAACTGGCAAAGATTTATTCAGAAAAGTCAAATTGAATTAGGTTTCCTTTGAATAATAATCACTTTAGGTACCGAGTCCAGAAAGAACCTGGCTCTGAGACAGGGGCGGATCTACAAGGGTGGCATAGGGTGGCAGTTGCCACCCTAAAAGAAAGCCTTGCTACCCCTGCTGCCACCCCAGCTGGCAGCTGTAAATTCAATAAATAGTTGTGGCATTACAAACGATAATGTTGCATGTCCAAAAATATTGAACACAGCACAAAGTCGCCCATGCAATGGATTAAAATGCATTAAAAGTCACAGGTCCGATTACATTGAACGCAGCACACTCACTCACCATCGGCGCTCGAGTTCTGAGCAGCAGCAGGCAGCCGCAGGAAACGAGAGGAGAGGAGATCGGGCCGACGCAGACGAGAAGGCAACCGAGGAGGTAAGAACTAAAAAACTTGACTTGGTGATAATAGCTGCTGTTGATTTTAAGACGATAAAACGCCAAAGCGCGTTGTGTGTAGGTTAGTGACGCCAGGCGTACACGGTGCAGTATGCGAACATGGTGCTCAAGCTTTGATTTGCTAGAAAGTTGTACAGTTTGAAATGGAGCTGCATGCTACGAGTGAAAAAGTCGCACAGTGTACGCCAGGCTTAAGCCAGATTCTTAGGCCTGTATATGGCAGAAAAGCAGATATCAATTAAATATTTGTCCAGAAAACATTGTAAATGACTTTCAATCTTTCAGAAATGAAGAGGAAAGGTAGTATCTCTAGTTTTTTCTCACCAAAGAGTAAGGTGAGACAAACGGAGACTAACCAGCTCTGTTGTGGAGGAGATGAGCTGGAAAGAGAGGGAGAAGAGCAACACAAATGTGACAAAGCGCAAGATTAGGGACAGGAGGAAATGACAGAAGGGCACAGTGGTGCAGTGATGGAGAAGGGAGAGGATAACCACCAAGATGAGGAGGGAGAAAGACGAGACGGTATGCAGGGCTCAGATAGTGGAAACACAGAGTCTGAAACATCACCAAACATCTCCAGTCGAGCTGGTCCACACGGTATGGATATATCACTGCATACAACATCTGAATCAAAATATTAAAATCAAAATAAATATTTTTCTAGGCAGTACAAATAAACTTATTTGCTTAGGGCACTTAAGATAAATGTTTTTATTCATCCTTATTGTGTTTGCTTTCTATGAAAAACATCTTTGTGTAAAAGGGAAAGAAAGTTACCCAAAAACATATATTTTATGCTGTGCGTGTTAACTCGGTCTGATTAATCCCTTAAAGACAGTCTCTTTTCACCTCTTCTCTTTCAGACATATCCAAGTCCTGGTGTGAGGGACCGGCACAACCAAAGCTCCAGAGTTTTCCTAAGACATTTCAAGGAGGAGCCAAGAGAAGCTTTCACAGTGACTGGTACAAATCCCATCCATGGCTGGAGTACTCACAGTTGAACAATTCATCGTACAGTTTTGCCTGTAGGCATTTTTCCCTCCCTGATGCTCCAAGGACTGTTTTCACCTCTCTTGAGGGTTATCAAAATTGGAAAAAGGCAAAAATGAAAGACAGCGGTTTCTGTTCTCATGCAAGATCAGAAAGCCATGTAAATGCAATGTTTGCATGGACAGAGTACAAAAAAATCTATGGACAAAAATGCTTCATTATTTGCAATAATGGATGAGGAAAATAAGAAACAGGTGACTGAAAATCAGTTTTACGTTAAGACACTGGCTGAGATCCTTGTTCTAACTGCAACAGAAAATGTCGCCCAGCGGAGTCACAGGGAGACTTCCGATTCAGAGAAAAAAGGGATTTTTCTATCTATGTTAGATTTGCTAAGTAACCATAATCCTGTCATTAAAAAAGACTTGAAC